TCGAGGCTGCGGTGGCCGGGAGTGGTCACTGCACTCCAGTCTGGGCGACAGTGAGACTCCGACTCAAAAAAAGAAAAGTAGAATATATTTTTAGGTCCATCGTATGATTAAAAATAAAACAGAGGGCGCCATGTCTCACATCTGTAATCTCAGCACTTTAGGAGGCCAAGACAGGAGGACTGTTTGAGCCCGGGAGTTCAAGACCAGCCTGGGCAACATAGCAAGGCCTTGTCTCTGCAAAACATAAAAAAAATTAGCTGGGCAGGGTGGTGCACGCCTGTAGTCCAGCTATTCAGGGGGCTGAGGTAGAAGGATCGCCTGAGCCCAGGAGGTTGAGGCTGCGGTGGGTCATGATTGTGCCACTGCACTCCAGCCTGGGCAAGGGTGAGACCCTGATTCAAAATAAATAAATAAATGAAACAATAATAGCCAAGTATGACAAGGGGAGACAGAAGAAATGGGGAATCCCACACCCCACATATAAAGAACAAAGAAACACCGCGACACGCTCACAGTCCGCTGCTGGGGTCTGAGTCTTCACTTTATTACTATGTCACCAGAAGTCACCACCTTCACTTGGTTCACCACAGACGGATGGATGTCATAAAGGAGGGTGCCACAGGGCCACTGGATTCACTCTTGAGACTTAACCAGGTGGTGGTGGGGGTGTCTAGAGCAGGGACCCAGGGTGGGTACCACCCTTTACCGCACACACACGCACACACACACACATATATTTGTGGAGCCTTATATTATACATCTTATATATAGAAAATATATATATTTATACTATACACAGGCAGTAACGCTGCGGGAGGGGCCAGGACACCCAGACAAGGGCTGTGGACACCAGGGGATGGGGAGTGTCAGGTCAAGGGCAGGGTTGGGAGATGGCTGGACCAGTCCATCCTCCTATCAACTCTCAAGAGGGATGTTCCCCCTTTCGTGCTCCTTAGAGTATCAAAGGGGTCTTGGGTCAAGTTTGGGGCTCCCCTGGGCTAGCAGGTGGGGGCTGTTGCTTACATGGGGGAAATGTGGGACCCCCAAGAGTCTCTGAAGATCAAAAATCACCATGGAAGGATGGTGACCGATGCTGGTCCCCTGGGAATTAGCCCTTCCATGGTTACACCCCAAGATGGATCAGGAGCCATCCATGCTAGACAGTCTGTTACTGCACAGGATGAGTGTCAACTCAGAAGGCAGAAGACCTGGCTCTTAAACTTCACTTGTGCTTGACCTTGGACAAACCACGGTCTCCCTGCCCCGGATTCTACCATCTCTAGGGTTCTTGCAGGTCTAAACTTGTGTGGAACCCCAGTTTTCTGGGCCCTCTTGTGCTTGGTGGGGAGAAGGGAACCCAATCTCTGCAGGGTCAGGCTGCAGGGGCCCCAAGGAAAGGTTTGGGAGCAAGGGAGAAGCAGAGGAGGCAGCAAAGAGGAGAAAGAGGCCGCCAGATAGTGTCTCAAGGGGGTTGGGGCCCCAGGGAGCTGTCTTTGGCCAACAGAAGGAGCAGGCTTCCCTATGAACCTTCCAGCAGCAGCGGCAGCAACCCTGGGTTTCATCCAAATCCTGCACTCTGACATCCCCCATACTGTTTCTCATCTCCATCACAGGTCGGTCCCTGCAGAGCCTAGCCTGATGACGGGATCATGCCTGGCCGCACCCCGGGAAGAGGGAGGGACGCTTTGTGTGGTGACTCAGTGTCCCCCATTCTGAGGGGAGTCTTGCAAAAGTTCCCAGCTCGGGGTGGCAGGGAGGGTCGGTAATGAACACTCAAGATTGGGTGAAGCTTAACTGGTACCCTGCCCCCAGGATCACCAGCAGCTGGTTGGTGCCCAGGGAGAAACAGATGGGCCACACCCCAGGGTCTCCTAGTGCCCATCAGCAGGGGAAACTTTCAGCGGGGAGTGGTCGAAGATGTCTCACAGTCTCTTGTAGTGGGCACAGAAATCCACTCTGCGAGAAACACTCCTGCACCCACCTACACGCCTGCCTTTGGCCACAGATAACCCACCGCCATGCTGTCCCCACTTGAGCCCAGACACAGTCCCTTCTCAGATGTGGAAAAGGAAGTCAACAATAAGCAGCTGCTCCTTGGCGATCTGGGGTTCCTTCACTGCTACCCATTGGGAGGACTTGGAAAGACCCGAGTTCAGATCTGTATTTTACTACTAACTTGTTTATGCTCGCGGAGCCTCAGTGTCCCCTTCTGTCCAATGGGGATGGTGATGCTACTTCTTTGCCTAGGAACTTCATTCTCCTTCCCTTCGCTCCTGTCCATCCCTGGGAGCCTCAGGCCTGCCACGCACTTGTTGAGTGCTTCCCAGCTGTGACAGATGCTCGGCACCGTTAGTTTAGGGCTCCCCTTCCCTAATGTACCACAAGCTCTCCCAGGCCAGGGACCACCCACTCTGCATCCCCAGCACAAGTGCCCCAGGACTGTCTGATGAATGAACATGCTGGAGAGTTATAACCTCTTGGGATTCTTGGGAGGGGGATGGGTGGTGGTGGTGGAAACACCCAGCACTGCCTGACTCAACACCCCCTCTGCTCTGCACCCTGAGGGCCCAGCCAGTGGACGCTGGGCACACAGCAGGATGGGCCCCCAGCTCTCTCCCTGCCGCTTAAGGCTCAGTAAAGAGACAATCTTGTGCAAGAATCCCTCCCTGCCCCCACCCCAGAAGGGATCATGCCCACTCAGGCCCCACAGCCCTCTTTGTGCCTTCGGGGTCACCTGACACCCTCCTCCTACAGCCTATCATCTCCCCTGGGTCTACCATGCACCAGGGGCTCTCACTCACATCACCTTGGGAGCGGTTCACCCCCATAGCTGCAGCTCACAAGCCAACCCTGCTGATTCCAAGGCCCTGTCCTCCCTCCTCTGCCGCCCACGGGAGGCTGGCTCCACGGTGGGCCTTCGGGCAGACCAGGAGAGGCACTTGCTATGGCCTTGGCTGCTCCAGCCTCGAGCCCCTGGCTGACGCCAGAAGAGAGGAGAGGTGACACAGTGCCCCAGATCAGTTCTGTTTCCCGGGAGGTCATGAGGGCAGAGAATCAGGCACCTGCTGGGTGGCTGAGGCCAAGAACTCTGGGCAGCACGCCCAGCTTTGCCACTTGCTCACTGTGACCTTGGGACAGACACCCTCATCTGGGCCTCGATGTCCACCCACCCTAGGCGGGAGCTCAGGAAACCCTCCTAGAGGAGGGACAGTGATCAGCCCTTTGGGAGGCCGCAAGGGGGGTTGCTGGGGCTCCCCAGAATGAGCTCCCCATAGGACACTAGAACACAGAGCATTTCACCCAGAAACAAACCTTCTCCCAGAAGGCCAAGGCCTAGGGGAGGGGCGAGTGGGGACACGGGTAGGGGGACCCAGAGACAGGGCTGTCCTGGGGGGAGGGGGAGCAGCTGCGGTAGGACAGGCCCTTGGCTTGCAGCAGAATCAGGGTGTCTCCTGGGGCCGAGGTCCCCATGGCCTCCCAGAATGACAGTAACACTGAGCGGTGGAGCCCCAAGCTCAGGGACAGGGTGGCGGGAGGCCAGGGAAGAGCAGGCACACTGCAGCTAGGCAACCTGGCTCGGCCTGCCTTCATCACTAGCTGCCTGAGAGACCCTGGGTGAGTGACTGCGAACACTCTAGACCTCGGTTCCCTCAACCATAAAATGGACACAGCCCTGATACTCCTAGCAGGACTGCCAAGAGGGCTCTGGTAGTGACAGTCCCCAGTGTACTGCAGTGTTCACATCTGCCCTATGACCGAGTCACATCATCTGGGTCTGTCCTCCCCACCATTCCTGACTCTGGCACCGACAGGGCCTCCCTCAAATCTCATCTCTCCCCTTTCCAGGGACTATTTCTGCCTCTTTCACCTGAGCAGAGGCCCAGCACACAGTAGGTGCTCAATGAAGACTTGATGACACAATGAATGAATGCAAACACCCCGGGCCCCCACCCTTCAGGTCTCTGCTGGCACATGCCCCGGAACACACTTGCACACACATGTAGACACGCCCCCAACATCTGACTGCTCCACCCTCGCCCCGAGCTACCTGGACCTCAGTGGGACAACTCAGAGGCTGGTGAGGTGCCACGCAGGGCAGCCTGGGAGGGAGCAGGGGGCTGGGTGTGGAGGGGGCAGGAGGTGGAAGGGGTAGGGGCAGGCGGGAGGGGGGGGCAGGCGGTCACTGTGGCTCAGTAGCCCTGCGACTGGTAGCCCTGGGGCTCGGCGTCGAAGGCGTTGGCTGGCTGCTGGTAGGTGCCGCCCATGCCGGCGGGGTCCGGCCCAGTGCTGGGCTCCACGTAGGGCGCATAAGGCATGCTGGAGTCCTGGCTGGGGTCCATGTAGTCCTGGGAGAAGAGGGCCGAGTCGGCGCCAATCTGGTACCGCTGGAAGGCCAGCACAGCCTGGCCTGCCTGGGGACGGGGCCAGCAGGGACAAGGACAGGTGGGAGGGGGTGGTTAGGGGAGAGACAGATGAGAGCACTGGGTTAGTGCTGGTTAGTTCACAGGACACAGGCAACAGAGGGCTAAAGATCCTCAGAGCACCAAGGATGGACCCACACTTGGCTGTGGAGAAGGAAGGCTGGCCTCATATCCACCTCCGGGGAGGCCCAGACCCACACAGGCAGCCAGAAAGAACCTTAGAAGTCACTGTCCCTGTCTTCCAGTCCCAGAGGTCACTCTGGGCCACCAATGATTCTAGATCTCTACTATGGAGTGTTAAGATGGAGCAAAGGCCCACAGCCTTTCTCCTTTTTTCTTTTTTGAGTCAGAGTCTCACTCTGTCACCCACGCTGGAGTGCAGTGGCACGCTCACGGCCACCGCAGCCTTGACCTGCTGGGCTCAGGCGATCCTTCCGCCTCAGCCTTCCAAGTAGCTAGAACTACAGGTATGTGCCACCACACCTGGCTAATTTGTTGGTTTATTGTAGAGACGAGGTCTCGCCAAGTTGCCCAGGCTGGTCTCAAACCCGTGGACTCAGGAAATCCTCTCGCCCTCACCTCCTCAAGTGCTGGGACTACAGGTGTGAGCCACCGCTCCCAGCAACACAGCCTTTCTCATGCTGTGTTCTCAGGAGTGTTATGTGGAATGGGAAGAAAGTTTCCAAGTGGGACAAAGAACTGTTGGCATCTCCTAAAAGCCATTCTTCTATCTCTCTTGTAGCTAGGCATGGCCATGTGACTAAGTTTTGGTCAATGGAGTACCTTCATGTTTTCTGTCCCACCTTCTGACCTGACACCTGGAATGTGACTGCAAGGGCTGGAGCTCTAGTTGCCAAAATGGACCACAAGGACCATGAGTTGAATTGCAGAAATGGAAGCAGCCTCGGTCACTGAAGACCTCTGGAGCCACGGTGCCAGCCCTGCAGACTTGGACTGTGTTTAAATCACTGTCACTTGCCGGGCTCAGGCAATCCTTCCGCCTCAGCAGCTGGAACTATAGGTGTGTGTTACCACGCCCTGCTAATTTTTGATTTATTGAAGAGATGAGGTCTCACCAAGTTGCCCAGGCAGGTCTTGAACTCCTGAGCTCAGGCAATCCTCTCACCTCTGCCTCCCAAAGTGCTGGGATTACAGGCATGAGCCACTGCGCCGGCCAGGAAATCCTTTTTTCAGTAAAAGCAACTGCATTGTTATTAAGGTGATGGCATTTACCATACCGAGCCAAGGAGTAAAATAAAACTTGCCATTAAAAAAACAGCTTGGAGGTTCATGATGAAAGCCTTCTCCAGAAGTAGTCTCAGCCTAGGGAATCAGCCTGTGATGGAAAAATGCTAATGATCTCCACACCCCCATTTTTGGGCTGAAAGGGCTAAAGCCCAGAGAAGGAAGAGCCCATGTCAGAGTGTCAGAATCCAGCCCTGACAGGGGGTGCTGCCTCTGCTTTTCAATCAGCCCCCACCAAGCACTAAGTCAACCAGGAACCCAAAAGGCCACCTAGGTGAAGAGGCAGGGAGTAATGTATGCTTGGTGTTTTCCAGAAAGTTCCAGAAGCCCAGTGACTAGACAGTCACTTGCTCACTGACAAAAGGTCTGAGGGACAGCCTTTTCTGGGAAGTGGCTATTTAAGACAAAGTGCCAGGGGTGTGGGAGAGGCAGACCAGGTCTAGAAGTTGGGTTGAGGAATAAGGGATGGCTCTGGGCTGCAGTCCTGGCTGCTGGGGACTCAGATGCTAGAGGCTGAAGAAGCAGGAAAAGTGAAGAGCCCCTGAGGACACCTTGAGCCCAAGGCAAGCCCCTAAGGGCTCACAAGGCCAGTCTGAATGAATCCTTGAGAGCAGTGTCTGTAGGTTTGGTCTCTTCCAGCTCCCTGGCTCCACTGTCCAGGCTGGTTTCCTGCACACAGGCAGAGAGGGCTGGAGCAGGTGACTGCTGCAGACCCTTCCAGGGGGAAGCCTCTAGCTCCAGGCACCAAGTATTGTCTGTCAGCCCTCTGCCTCCACTGAGTCAAGGCTGCCTTTGGTCAACAAGTTCAAGGGTCGACATTACAGGAGCAAAGGAGGGCTCGGGTCCCCACTGGACAAGGCTACAGAAGGGAGGCTGGGAGCTCTGCTCAGAGCCCACCTGGCCTCACTATCTCAGAGCAGGTACACTCTCTACAGCACCTCCTCTGTGCAGCAAGCAGTCTGTACTTGCATGCCTCCTGTGCCAGGAAGCTCACTCTCTGTGAACTCAGCCCTTAGCAAGGCTGAGGCATTTGCTCAGGGACTATTTGTGTTCCACAAGTCTCCTAAGTTCTTGCAGGGAGTGAAGGGATAGGTGGGTTCCAGCCCAGACAGCAGAGGGCCCCAAGGAGGGAAGCTATATAGAGTCGTAGGCCAAAGTCCTTGGGAAGAACAAGGATTCACCTACCACATGAGAATCACTCCCAAAATAGAGATTACGGAGGTGCCCCTGACTCCCTGGAGAATGAATGAATGAATGAATGAATGAACAAAAGACACAGTTTACATTTATTGAGCATCCCTGTGCCAAGCCTTGTGCTGGCCTTTGTTTCATCTACATGGCAGCGGAGGGGAATGTGTCCAGGAATGTGTGCTGGCGCTCAGGGGTGTGTCAGGGTCATATGGCACATGAGAACAGAGCTGGACCAGAAGTCCTCTGACATCCCAGGCCAGGCCCCGCTTGGCAGTCAGCCTCCATGGGGACACTGAGATCATCCCTCACACCACAGCTGAGGGACAGGCCATCACACCGTGGCCACAGTTCAGCACCTGGGACCATGGACACCTTCCAGCAGCCTGTGTGTGGAGCCACCTCCAACCCCCTAAGCTCATGGCGGTCCATTTGGAGGAGATCAGATCAGATGTGTTTGTCTTCCCCTCCCAGCCTGCGGGCTCCTGGGGCCAGGTACCCACCTAATTCATCACTGGGCACAAAACAGCTGCTCAATAAATGTTTACTGAATGAATAAACACATGCAGAAGGCGGCAACAAATGAATAAGTGGTGAATCTGAACTGGCTCCTCAAGCTGGCCTTTCACTGCCCTGCATGCCCTGACAGCCTGGACATTTCTGGCACTAGGTTGCTCCTGAAATCTTTGAGGGCCAGGAGGCCTACGGCTGTGCCGAGGCAGGAAACAGTGTGCTGTATTCCTCCTGGAAGGTAAGGTCCTTGAATCTCCGCACGGCCAGGGCTGCACTCAGGCTCTGCCAGGAGAGAGCAGGGGTGAGGCTGGTGGGGAAAAGCTGGGAAGGTGTCAGTAGGAAGGTTGCTTCTGAGGGCCCGAAGGGGACCTGTCAGTCAGGCACTTCAGACCCACCCCTAGAAATTTGCTGTCCAATCACTAATCGTCTGTGAACCCCGCCCCATCTCAGGTTTTACAGCTTCCCAACTCCTCCCTTTAGGCTGGGTGGTCCCCACCCCTAGGGGTCCTTCACTGGACTGAGATACCCTGGGGTCCCTGTTCTTCCTGTCCAGTCTTGAGGACACCAATACAATATTTTTTTAAAATTTGAATAAATTACCCACACATAAGAATCATATTTCAGGTAAAAAGTCACATTTCTGGCTTCTCTGGGTCCTCATTCTTGCTTGGCAACCAGAGCCAAGCATAGGGTGACTTATTAGGATGGGCATGGATGGGCATACACATGTCACCCAGCCTGTTCATGTACTCCTAGGCCCTGCCTGACTCATGAGCATCTGACTTGGTGCTCCCCCAACCCCCAAAATACAGTCCTCTCATTTTGCAGATGGGAAGACAAAGGCTAAGAAAATTAGAGGCAGGGTCAAGTGCAGTGGCTCATGCCTATAATCACAGTACTTTAGAAGGCAGAGGAGGGAGGATTGCTTGAGCTCAGGAGTTCAAAACAAACCTGGGCAACATAGTGAGGATTTTTCTCTACAAAAATAAAAATAAAAAAAATTTAGCCAGGCATGGTGGTGTGTACCTGTAGTTCAAGCTACTAAGGAGACTGAGGTGGAAGGATCACTTAAGCCCTGGAGATAAAGGCTGCAGTAGGCCATGATCATGCCACTGCATTCCAGCCTGGGCAACAGAATGAAACCTCCACTCAAAAAAGAAAAAGGCCAGGCTCGGTGGCTCAGCCTGTAATCCCGCGCCTTGGGAGGCTGAGGTGAGTGAATTGCCTGAGCCCGTGGGGTCGAGACCTGCCTGGGCAACTTGGCGAGACCTCATCTCTACAATAAATCAAAAAAAAAAAAAGAAAAGAAAAAGAAAGAAAAAACTGAGACTGCCCCGATGTAAATCATGTCTACTGGCACCAAGGCCTGGCTCCTTCCCAGTCTCAAAGCCTCATCTTCCTCTTTAGGCCTCTGCTTTCTTGTCTGTAAAAGAGGATAAAAAGTACCAGATATCTGGAGTGGTTGGGGGGCATCTATGGGAAGGTTACTCTGCACCAAAGCGAGGCTCTGCCATCGCCCCATGCACATCTAGCATCCTTGCTCAGGGAGGCAGCACTGCTGTGGGCGCTGCAAAGCCAAGCAGGCAGAGGAGGGGAGCCAGGGCACATGAAGGCTCCAGGAGGCAGAGCCGCTCCCTGGCTACTCAAAGGCCACTAGCCCTGGAGCTGGGTCAGGGGACGCAGCGAGTGTGGACGTGGTGGTCTCTGTACTCACCCAAGTGAAGATAGAGAAGAAAGAGAAGGCGATGGCGGCCCGGGCTGCGTCTGTCCCTTCGTTCAGCGGGTTGTCCTTGGGCTTGGAGACCTGCCACTGGTTGGCCAGGAAGCAGAAGCCCACGAACCAGAGGAAGGCCCAGAAGGCTGGGGCATCCCCAAGGCCAGGCAGAACAGGCAGGGTCATGCATGGGGGACAGGGTGGGGAGAAAATGGGGAAACCGAGGAACAGAGGGACGTTCAAGAGCATGTCTCCCATGCTCCCCCACCCCCAAAGGGAGAAGGAAAGAGGCAGGGGGAGGGAGAGGGGAGCCAAGAGAATGTGCAGGAGAGAAGAGAGAAGCCAGGCCAACCCCGGGGTAGAAGAGAGGCCCCAGGGAGGGCAAGGCCAAGGGCGAGCAGACAGGACAGGGCCAGGACCAAGACAGAGGACAGTGTGGGCAGGGAGAGGGGAGCAAGGAGGGAGAGAGAGAAAACACAATCAACTCAGGCCATGTTTCTCCAGCCTCTGCTAAACAACCATTTCCAGCCACCTCCTGACTCAGCCCTAAGTTCCACCTCTGAGGCTCCTCCAGGGAGGAAGACCCCTGTCCCCATCCTACTACAGGCTTCCAGAGACATGGGGTGGGGCAAGGAGGACAAGGCTGGGGCAAGTGTGGCAGCTCAGTCAGGCAGGTCTGGCCTCGACTTCTTGTGTGCTGCAGCTTCACAAAGCTCCAAGTTTAGTGGGGGGCCCTCTGACAGCCAAGCCTAGGGGGCAGCAGTGGGAGCCTCAGGGCAACACGATCCTCTGTGGGTGCCCAGGTATTCCCAGAGAAGCTCAGAGCGGCTCAGGACAAGGTGTGCACGTGCAGGGTAGGGGGATGTCTGGGGCCCAGTCCACCTTCCAGAGGTGCTGCGGGGGATCCTGAGGCTCCATTGAAGCTTCTAGTCTAAAGGGGCCCAGGCCTCCCAGCCTGCAGTCAGCCTGGCTCATTTCAAGAGCTCCAGGCCTGGAGCTCAGAGACTCAAGACCAAAGCCTCAGGCCAGTAAGGCTGAAGCCCGTATTTCTGGCCCCTGGTTGAAAGCATCCACCAATCAGATTCTGGAACTCAGGGGGCAGAGGTTAGGATGCTACTGCCAAAGGCCGTTTCTAAAGGGCAAAGGGCAGTAGGTCAGGTCAGCTCCCCAGCTCCGGGTCCTGGTCCTGCCCAGGGCAGGAGACTGAGCCTCCCAGAGTCCCTGCTGTGGCCTGGGTGTCTGGTCACTCCTTGGTTAGTTCTCATGAGGCTGCACCAGGGAGGTGGCACAGAAGAGGCCACTGAACCAAGGCCTGACTCCTCAGGGCTGGTACGTGCCTTGCCTCGTCCGTGCTCACCTCACCCCCGGAAGGCATGGGCTATTCTGGGGTCCTGGGCCCTGTCCTGGTCCCACCTTTCCCATGTGGTTCTAAGGCTGTCCTTGCACATGCCTGTACCTCAGTTTCCTCATCTGGAAAATGGGGAGAAGGGAGGCAGCCAGCTCCCATGGCTGGGACAGCCCTCTGCAGATCCTTTGTGCAGGGGTACCCACTGGGGCAGGGCTCACCCGAGACACCGATGTCGGACAGGACAGCCTTCTTGCGGTCCTTAACGCTGCTGATCTGTGGGAAGTACACGTCTAGGGCCAGGTAGAGCAGGCAGGTGAGGAAGGCCAGCACGCCCACGGTCACACCATAGCTGCAGGCGTTTGGGTTGCGGTTGTAGATGCAGAACTCCTCACCCTCCGAGGCGCTGTTGAGGTAGCCCTCGTTCACGATGGAGCCGAACACCACGATGGAGAACAACTGCAAGCGGGGGAGGGGGCCTTAGACAGGCAGGCCCCCACCCAGCACCAGCCCTGCGGGGAGGAGGCTAGCAACTTGTGTCAGCCTGCTGCCTGCCCCTCTGCGAACCATGAAGCAAAGCTCCTGTTAAGCTGGCATTTTAGAGGGGAGGCCCAGGGAGGGAAGGCAACTTGCTTGGGTCACCTAGGACAGTCAGGGTCAACGCTTTCCTCACTCAGCCACAGGCACTGAGGACCCTCTGACTACAGATGTGACCCCCACCCACCAGTCCAAGCCAGGTTCCGAGAGGGCTTCCTGGGCCCTGATACCAAGACACCCTAGGACTTGACCAGCCACCCAGAACAAGGAGCCAGGGGGCCTCCTGGGCGGTGAACCTGTCAAGTCTCTACCTCTCAGGCTGACTCCTCTGGACACTGACACGCACCTAGTCCCATCTTGTGCTCTGCAGAGTCACGGGTAGTCTGGGGTCCCAGGTCCTGTCCCTGAGCCAGGTCCAGCAAGTGGACAGAGTGATGAATGAATAAATACAATCATAATCCTCCAAATACAGGGCGTCAGGCATGACCCCAAGGGTGTCACTATGCTACCTCATTTAGCGCCTTGACAACTCTCTGTGATGGGTGTATCTCAGTCGGGGAGGCAGCCGGCTGAGATGGCCCCCAGCGGCCCTGCCTCCTGTCTTGTGCAGTGCTTCCCCTCAAGGGTGGACTTAGTGGTTTGCTTCTAACACACAAAATATGGCAAAAAGCGACAGGTCTTCACTTCTTTTTTTTTTTTGAGTTGGAGTCTCACTCTGTCGCCCAGGCTAGAATGCAGTGGCACACTCACAGCCACCACAGACTCGGCCTGCTGGGCTCAGGCCATCTGTCCACCTCAGCCTTCCAAGTAGCTGGAACCATACATGGCTAATTTTTTGATTTATTGTTGAGACAAGGTCTCGCCAAGCTGTACAGGCTGGTCTTAAAGCCCTGGACTCAGGCAATCCTCTTGCCTCAGCCTCCCAAAGTGCTGGGATTACAGGCTTGAGCCACTGTGCTTGGCTGGGTCTTCCCTTCCTTCCTTCCATCTGTCCATCCATCTGTCTAGTAGGGACAAGGTTTTATGTTGTCCAGGCTGGTCTCAAACTCCTGGCCTCAAGTGATCCTCCTGCCTTGGCCTCCCAAAGCATTGAGAGTACAGGCATGAGCCACCATGCCTGGGTGGAATATCACTTCTGAGTAGGTGACAAAAAGACTCCTGTTCCCATCTTACTTGTTCTTTCCTGTCTCTCTCCCTGCTAGCTCTGATGAAAGCCAGCTGTAATATTTTTGAACTCTCCTTGGGAGAGACCTGCATGGCAAGGAACTGAGGGACGTCTCCAGCCATCAGCCTACAAAGAACTGAATCCTGCCAACACCATGTAAGTGAGCTTAAAAATAGATCTTTCCTCAGTTGAGCCTTCAGATGAGACCACAGCCCCGGCTAATGCTGTGATTATAACCTTGTGAGAGATCTTAAGGCAGTGGCACCCAGCTAAGTATATCCTTGACCCACAGAAACAGTGAGATAACAAATGTGTGTTGCATTAAGCCTTAGATGTTGGGGCAGTTTGTTGTGCAGCAGTAGTTTACTAATACAGTCTGAATCATCAGCATCTTGCAGATGAGGCAGTTAAGGCTCAGGTATTAGTTAACATGCCTGAAGTCACACAACAGGCAAGTGACAGACCTGGGGAAATCTGACCCTAAAGTTCATGCTTTTTCCCTATGCCCCTTACCTCCCCTGAAACCACAAGGGGATGAGGAGGCCCACATCCCACAGATACGCACTCCAGAAGGCGGGGCCCTAAGTGTGGCCTGCGAGGACCTTGAAGCGGAGGCTGGAGGGGATTTTTGTCATCTGTTTTCTACTCCTCTTTACTTTCCATTTTTTCTATAATAAGAAACTATAATTTCAATATGAGCCAGATACATTTTCTTCCATGGCTGATGCCCAGATGGGTGACGGTTCCAGGGGGGTGTGGGAAAAATAAGTGAAGTATTATGAATGGTATCTTTTTAAGATACCTGTACTTCACATGGGTTTTACACTGTCCAAGGTATACTGGTGCAGTAGTAATATACATAAAACAACTAAAACTGCATTTTTAAAAAATAGAGGTGTAAGCCGGGCTCGGTGGCTCAGCCTGTAATCCCGTGCCTTTGGGAGGCTGAGGTGAGTGGATTGCCCGAGCCCGTGGGTTCGAGACTCACCTGGGCAGCGAGACCTCATCTCTACAATAAATCAAAA